GTGAAATGGTTCCCTACTCCTGAAGGATGAGCATCAAATGGCTGCCACTGGCGAAACACCAGCGGGCCGAGCAAGTTCCAGTAATTACGGTTTTAAGTTTAGGGCCTTACCGCGTTGCAACGAGCTCATCATTCGCTGCGCAAACGCCAATCCTCGCTTCCTTTGCCGCCTGACAATATACGAAGTTATTACGATCTCAACAATATCGCACATGAAAATCTCAAAATTTACACAGCAGATTTCGCAGACATGTTTACTAATTTGGAACATATTGTCATTATTAGGAATATAAAGCATCTCTTAAACATTTGTTTTAAGAATGCTGATAAATCGCTTGTCGCCACTAACGGCTATCACGTCTTCTATACAAGTGGTGAATCAACAAGTAGTAGCTATAGATATTACAAACCTGCTGATCTGTTATACTTCACAGAATATTTGTTAAAAAACAGTTATTGTACATTTGGCAAATCATATATTCAAACAAAACAAAGGAGTACCACAAGGAGGTAATTTCAGTCCCCTATTAGCTGATCTTACCCTCTCCGTATGGAATACAATTATGCAATAAAGTATAAGTTTAATAAAAAATAGAGTATTCATTCCATTCAGATATATGGATGATTTGCTAGTATACATAACCAAACCGAAGATGACATTGACATTCACTAGCAGAAGTGTATATGAATACACTTGAATTGAAGAAAACACATTTAAGTGAAACATCTAGTAATTATCTGGATTTAACAATAAGTATAATAAAAATGACAGAGTTATAACTAGATTGTATAACAAAGACGGATGATTTTCAGTTCAAGGTTATTAGATTCCCACATAATGACACAAATATCTCCATAAATAATAAAGGCTCCGTCATATACACTGAAACACTTAGAATAGCTAACACTTGTTCCGTTTTGACACATTTACTGATAAACTAACAGAATTCATAAGAGTGTTACTAGGAAATGGTTATCATGAGGACTTATTATATCTAATATAGTTAAGTGTATTTATAAAAATAAGTTTATATGCTATAAATTCTCAATGGCTAATAATTATAAAAATGTTAATAAACTAGTTAAAGGAATACTCAATCAATGAGTTATTGCTAATTCAGTGGACAGCTATAAACATTTCCACCTTTTTAATTTCATAAAAGTTTTGCATATTGTTATCAATTTATATTCACTTTAGTCAATATACAATTAATTTCATTGCATGCTCCTCTGCATGATAATTTGTACGTCAGCTCAAGGTTTATTCGTCTTTCCCCTGTGTCTTTATTTCGCCAATCCCAACTCACTGATGAGCTCCGGGGATTGACGAAATAATAAGGTTCGTCTGAGGAAGGAGCGAAACGAACCATTTTAATTATTTGTTTATAATGGTTTTTCTTTCTTAATTGGTAATAACTTCCTATGGCGCATATGAACCTCCGTTTCTATTGAACTTCCGATAATTACAATTGCGAGTTGTTTGACATCGAATTCACGCGTTCGCCTTAAGCACAGCTTTGTAAATAAACAACAAACAATATGCTATACTTTTGCAGTGTGCCACTACTTTTTTGTAATCAGTAGCTTTAATGTTTTTGAAAATACTAATTTTTACGTAAGCGAGTGAATAAGGCTATGAGATGATGAGATGTTACAAATCAGCTCTTCAAAGTTTAAATGTGCAGGATTTACTTTTTGCCGTTGTCTTCTTATTCTTAGATAATCCTGCTTCATCATAGGGTCTGCTGGACTTTTGATCATGTTTTCTGTGACTGTGGCATCAGTCGGTCTGTTAAGGTCTGGCGCTTTTACTGGAACCATTCTTCCAATTTTTGCAGTGCGTATTTGTGCTTTAGGAAAAAATCGTACTGGGGCCCTCACAACCTATACTCCCAACCACTCAGCCATCCATGCCTTTAGGGCAACTTTTCAGTATTTTCACGGTTTTAGTTCTTTTTTCAACCTTCCATTCCTCCCGATCTGATGGGTATCACCAGCTCCGTTTGGGAGGATATAACAGAAGTTCAGCGCAAAGCGAAAGTTCATGTTTCTCTGAAAGCGAAATGAAATGAATGAATCTTGAATTCGGTCCGAGCAGGACTAGAAATCAAATAGAGGCTGGAGATAAATGACTAGTCACATATGTAGAATACCAGATTAGATTAGTGGCTAAGGAAATATTTTCAATCGGAATGTTAAGGTAATTAAGGTAGTAACACATGTAACTTAAAGGCGCAAGCAACGATCAAATTGAAGTGTAACGGAACTCGACTATAAAAGCTGATGTGTAAAGTGGATCAATACTAAAACAAAAAGGAAAAGAATCCGAGAAAAATATAGAATATTCGAGCCTCCTTCGTTTTGTGTTGTCTAAGGAGGACGCCCGAAGCAACGATGGCTTGATACGTTGCATGAGGATTTGAAATTAGTTGGCCTTCACCCCGATCAGGCACATAATCGGGAAAAGGGGCGTCGTAATACCAGGAAAGCGGACCCCGCCACAGGGTGGGCTAAAGAAAACGCTTGTTTTGTGTTGTCAAGTTGTCCGAAGAGGCCGACAGTGAGACAAAATAAAGAGATCGCCAAAAAGGCATCTGAGGCGCGAGAGTATAGCAGACTAGTGACATGATACAGATGAGGTAACACCAGGGTGGATACGACACTGATATATGGATGTGAGCCACTACTATGAGGATTGAAAGATGCTTTCTCAAAGGAAGTTTATTAAGCTGGTTTGGGCCTTATGCTTTCATTCTAAGCATAATTTATTCGTTGCTTTTTCATCTAGTTGACTACGACGAAAAGCAACAGCTCAGCGTATAAATTTACTGACACCAATTCGTTCTGTGAGATTTGTTTTCTCATTATTGCGTCTGGTTTTCTGAGGCAAAGCCCCAGATATCACTGTGCTATCACTAAAGGTGACCGATTAGGTGTGCAAGTTCACTTTTACTAAATACGACGTTTAACCACGAACCTCAAGGACTGCTCATACAGTCCGTAATACCTTCTTCTTTTGATCAAAAGGATGGATGAGAGAAAGAACAGACACTGCAAGAATGAGTAATTCGTTTTTGAGGACATTTCTTGTGGTGTGCTACGCACTTGACTCCCATTCAGAATCGCTGTAGCAGTTACACGAATGCGTATTTAGCGCGTAGAAAAAAGCTTGCGCGGCCAGCTGATCCAGTTTTTTCACCCACATAGGAAAGTCGGCTAGGTCGAAAGCAAACTGAGAACCGTAGACTGGCCTGGGCAGCATCCAAGACAACTCAACCTAGTTTCTTTCATTTACCTCATGATTTCGGTTTTGTTGAGAGGCTCTGCGTTTTCAGGCTCTGTATTCTATTATTCCTTTTGTCGATCCCCGAAGCTTTTTTTTTCCCCATTAATACAACACAGGCACAAATAGCGCCGCCCGCACCAGTAGTTGGTGTCATCTTCATATCGAGCCGGATACTTTTCGCCAGAAGCTCCATGCATCACTCCACCGGAAAATCTCCCACCCCGAGCAAATTTTTCGATCCTTTTTTGGCCTTTAGGGGACTGCTTAGCGAAAATGACAGTGAGTCCAAGTGAGAGCCCCTACAGCATGCCAACCGTTCTATAAAGCGTTCAGCAACTTGAAAGACATATGTCTTGAGTGCCAAGTAAACCCATGCTGACAGCCGTCAGCAATGAGAAAAATGCAAAAAAAAAACAAAAGAGACAAAAGAAACTAGCGACAAGACACTGGACATATGGACAAATTTCTGTTTGTTTATGGCAAGTTAAACAAAACTGTTGGACTTTTATGGTGTTACTTTCACCGAAGAAATTTCTGTATTCTATGTATTTATTTCTCGTTTTACTGCCCAAGCGAAATGATACACGATCGAGCATTGATGGAGAGACCTGGTCTGAGGCCTTCGAGTTAACCTCGTCTCGAGCCGCAACGAGTTTGGGTGGATCAGTCTGTTCAGTGGGTGGAATAGCGACATCTGCAGAGATCACAGGTGTGCCATTCACATCAGGCATTAGTTCCTTATGAGTATAGTGCTAGTACCTCACCACGTGCCTGCATATGCCTCTTCCGTTTCGCGGGATACAATGAAATAGCGCCTCACCAGGGTGAATATTGCTTGAGGATTCCTCAACGGCACGTCGAGGATTTTCGCCTGATCCTTTACGTTCTCGCGCGCGGACATTCACTCTCGCCAGCGAGCCGTCTGTGCTCTCCGCGCGTACATTCACTCTCGGCACTACTCTCGCACAGCAGAGAGCGATGGTCGAGGAATTCCTCGACCGTTATTCACCCTGGTCCTCACCCTTCCGTTTGTTGTGCTCTATCGCCGATGATCTCCTCGAAACACAGCGTCTCTGTTTCTAAGCACAGACTCTCTCACAAATTTATATTCGTGCACAAGAATCGCACCAAGTTGATTGTGAGGTGTGCTTTTGAAAAAGATTCTACGACAGGTCAGAGGCCAAAGAAGTGGAAATCTTCCTGGTGGAAAGACAGGTGGACCCCTAAGGGGGTGCATCGACACGCAATTCGCAGCAAAGAAATGTCCCCGGCGATCTCGCATGGTCGAAGCCGCGCCGCTATCGCCGCTGCCCGCCCAGCCCCTCGCGTCTGGCTCTAGCCCCTCACAGAGAGAGCGTTAGCGTTGATGAGGTCAGCACCGATGAGAGTTGCATCAATGCGGAAATCAACGGGCAAAAAAGGGGTCCCATTTTTCGGGTTCTAGGTGTTTTCTTATGGTTGTTTGCCTCATTCCTGCACCACACTCAGATAGGGGTATCTTGTTTTTATGGACTGCTTTTTCATCGCCAACTTCTATCACAACGAGACAGCGTGCTCACGTGCTTCTAACGATCGGCCCCTTCAGTGTATTTTTCTCAAGTTCTTATTAGCATAATAGTGAACAACTACAGTACAGAGCCCGACCCCACACGCAGTGCCAACTAGAAATACCCTGGTGAATCTGAATGAAAGTATTTGGATTGTGTTAATCACTTACTCTGTCTCGTCCGTACCGATCTCCATTAATCGTGTGATCAGCTCTTCGACACCGATCTGTGGATCCAGGGAAGCAATGAAGGTATCGAAAATTTTCTGCCCTTCGACGACTTTTCGAAACGGTTTATCGGGAGGACTGTTGCCCCACACATATGTTCCTGTAATAGACTGTACTAAAAACCGCTAACAGATCTATAGAGTGTAAGTTTCTGCTTTTCTCAAGATACCATACCTGCAGGCCATTTTCGAGGTTCCACTTTGTCGACCAGCATATTCGACAAAGATGTCATCTCATAGTAGTCATGCTCATTCCTGCAACCACTAGCTTGGATGAGCCGCGTTCCCAGCCTCCAGCACTCTCAAGAAAAATTACCTTTGCAATCCTAGGAATTGAAATCCATTGAATAGATGAGCCTTTTCACTGAGTTCTGGGAAAAACTCTTCACATGGACGAGCCGATTCCAAGAACTCCTTAGCGATAGCACCTAAAGGCAAATGATAATTATATTCCGTTACTTGTAGAAAGATAGTAGCTGTCCGC